GATGTGCAAAACTGATAGAGACATACCCCAAGTGACTTACAGCTGTAATCGCAGCAAAAGGTGGCGCTACAAAGTATTAACTTAAGGGGGCTGAATAATTTTGCACGCCCAATTTTTCAGTTTTTTATTTGTTAAAAAAGTTTGAAATATCCAATAAATTTCGTTCCACTTCATGATTGTGTCCCACTTGTTGTTGATTCTTCACAAAAAATTACAGTTTTATATCTTTATGTTTGAAGCCTGAAATGTGGCAAAAGGTCGCAAAGTTCAAGGGGGCCGAATACTTTCGCAAGGCACTGTATATATATATAACTGCTCAAGAATCTCTGGGTTGTGAGCATTACAAATGTCAAACTACAAATTGGGAGACCAAAAAACAAAAAACAAAAACAAAAGTAGACAGTCTGCTCTCTTCCCTGGGTCTGAGGCAAATGGGTAAATATCACGGAAGTCTGACAGAATTAACACAGCACTACACATCTGCACTGTCCTGAAATGACCGGCTAACTGAGGTCATATATTACACACAAACACATACAGGACATGTTTTAACTTGTTGTACAACCTGTGATCCTGAGGCAAAAGACCTGCAGTGAGTTCATTTCGAACATTCTAATTCTACTTTGAATGTTTTTTTGCCTACCTTCTTCTGTTAGTGTATCTGAAAATATATGATACAGTAACATCACTGGCCATAATGTTTAGGTTATTTTCACATTGAATGGACTGAAGGGACAAGGAACATGGGGCTGCATACTTCTGGCTCTCCTCCACAGTTAGCTTGTCATCTCTCTGCTCGCCTGTCACCATGGCCAGTTCTTCCTTCAGAGACTGGATCTCCCTTTTCAGACGGGCTATTAGCTGAAACACACACACAAAAGCCAAAGTTAGAGTTCTACTGTACAGTATGTGCATATACACACAGTACGTACAGTACAAAACAAAGGCACACACTCACATTGAAGTGCATGCAGCACAACACTATTTCCCTGCTGCCAACTGATGAGATAGTCCATCTGAAAATCATCTTGTGGCTTATCTACTGATGCATTTTGAGGACAAACCTAAGTGATTCCAGACGACTAGATGCTCCAGTGAGAAAATGCAGGAAGCAAAACATAAAATAGCATTTAACAGCTACAGTGGCAAAAAAAAGAACACATAAAAACTTTTGCTGCTGTCTGTCTGCACGTGTTTGGTTAAGGCCCTGCACACTGAGCCAACAGGCTGGTTGCTGTTAGGATCCACTGTCCAGGTTTGGTTACTTTATATATAAAAAGTGAAATATAGTACCAATTCATACACAGCTTCTTCAGTACTTAGATACTGTAGCCACTTTTGTAGCAAGTAAAAGTAAGAGCCAGAATGTCTATTAATGTCAAAAAAGTATGATCAAAAGAGAGACAATATGATGTGACCAAGACTTTGTTTTTTATAAACAATTTAAGGCATATTCCATTCACTGAATACTGACTAATAAATTCCTTAATGTGTGTAGTCCAGAATGATGAATTCTGTGTCTAGTGAGCATAGGTAGGCCCTACACACTCATTTTGATTAAATGGAATATATGACAAAAAAGCTCTTTGGATACAAAATCCAACAAAAGCAAATATGTCTATGCCCTGGCCTTGATGACATATAAACTTTAGGGTCTAGGTAGGGATTAGCAGGTGTCTAGCTATTGCTGTGGCAAAATGATCTTATTAAAGCTTGGTGAGTGCAGAATAAAGTCTTGATACCAACTCTGAACACTATCTAGCCCTGAAAGGTTCAATGAGAACATACTGTAGATGAAGTGACACTACAGGCATGCAGGGAAAGCAATAAAGAATGGATTCTGACAGTAATAACAGGTCTGTTCCTCAAGAACAGACCTGTTAAGTGAGGGTAAATCCTAAATATCCTGATCAGACCCAGAGCAAAAACTTAGATTTAAGGATTTAAGGATGTCTGTTGTCATTGTAAAAGTTATACATTATGTATCTTAAGAGAACGAACCAAAGTACTCAAGGTCCAGTTAAGATAAATAAATATATACTGTAAGTATGTATATATAAAGTAAGCAAGATGGAGGAATAGGGATAAGACTGTAAGACAAGGGAATGCTGCCTTAAAGTGCAGAAAGTGTTTACTAGCAGTTTGCCAAAATTTGTAACAGAGGAGCTACAGTATGTATACATGTGAAACAAACAAACAAGCTCTACTGACGCATTGGTTTAATAAAACAGTTTGAGTCCTCTGCAGGAAGTTATATACAATGGTAACTGGACATTAATTCATTTGACAAATCCTTTGAAAATGTGAATCAGTCCAAGAAGAGAGTGACCCTTTTTACACTTCATCTAAACACATTCATGTAATTACATGCTAATGGTAGGGAAAATGCACCAAAGGCGGGTTCTGGTGTAGTTAAATGTCACGTTAAACCAGTTAAAAATGAAGAGGCAACTGTTCTTTTTCACATATGACCCACGTCTTTTTTCAGCATAAATCCCACTTAACTATCCCCACAGAATTTCACCACAATACTAAATGGGGAAAAACTGGACCTGTCTCAAAGAACAAATACAACATGAAATAGCAACTGTTTGCTAGAGTTACACACAGTGACACACCTGACACAAACTTGCTAGGGAGCCAAAGGTCAGTGAGTGGTCAGCAAGAAAAGCACTGCCACTTCTAGCAGACACATCATGTGGAAATTCAAAATCCATCATGCAGCAAGACAATGTTAATTCTAGACAAGAAACAGACCTGCATTGTGGCTTTGGCTAGATGCCAAACATTTCATCCCTAATCCACCCCATATCAAACTGTTTAACACTGAGCTGACCATTCCTCACCAGAGCCACTCCCTGTATCTGGAGCCCATGGTCTGATGTAATTCATCCAGCTGCATCCTCAAAAGCTGACCGCTAGTCGTTGGTCAGCAGAATGGTGCAGTCTATTTCAGAATGCTGAGCCCACACTGGTACCACAGCACCACAGCAGACTTTCAAACACTAAGTAAAAACTGACTCTTGGCCATGTGACTGATGATGTCAGCATACTGTATGGAAACCCATGTCAGTGCAACAATGCAACATGAAGATTATTATGGTGATGGAAGAGCAGCACTATATATCTGTGTTACTATAAACATGTTGCACAATTGACAATGAAGCATTGTTTTTAATACATACTATCCATAATATGTGTTAAAACCACTCACAGAACTGTAAACACCACAGTATAATCATAGGTCACACCTGACATGCATATATATTATTTTATATTATGGGAACTCTAAATGAAAAAAGAGGTAGCATATAGGTTCCTATTAGACCATAATGTACGTAGGCTTGGTCATTTACCCCCACACAACAAAACGATAACACATGGGCTGTGTTTTGGCAACGAGCACTGCAACATTCTACACCACTACAGTTATAAACTTCCCTCTGTCCTAACAAATGCCAGCTACTTAGAGGAGGCAGAGGAGGGACCCAGGCAGAACAACCATCTGCAGGAATTCTCACACCATATTTCGCTGGTGGGATATAAGTAGGCTTCTGTTTGACTCACAGGCATGTGCTAATAAGAACTGTCTTCTCTTTAAGTGAAGGGAGGCTCCAGGTTCAGAAATGTCACCCAGTGCAGTGCATGGTCTGAACAATGTAGGAAGCACTGACTCCAAGGTTGTGAAAAGCAAACTCCAGGTTTCGAATCAGTTACCACAGCCGGCATGTCCAACAGACAATATGCCTTCCAATGGGGCTGGCCAAAAATGGGAGTCTACAGTAAGTGTTACCCCAAACCACAACAGATGGCATCATTCTAATCTGCA